CTTCAGTGCCCTCCTGGTGCAAAATGTGAAAAAAGTTTCGATGCTTTAACGGCAGACCACTGCGTAAGGTGTCGCGAAAACTTACGCAGTAATTCTGGAACAATTCCACAGTATGCGGGTCGACATTTCCCATATTTAGAATGTTCGCTCCAACTGTAGCGAGGAATCTTGTGCAGAGGAATATCACTACGATTATACTCATGCTTCTCATCGTGCGTCGGGCAAAATCTTGTGGCTGATTGATGTGCCGTTTACCTGGTATTATCATGCAAGTTAGATAACCGAAGCAAGCACCTTGTAGAGAGGCAAAAAGGATAGAGCGAAAGCTCACATTAACTCACTGTAATATAGAAGAATAAGGTAAGAGAGAAGATAGCTGAATATTGTTATACCTCCGGCTATGAAGGCCACAATATACCAGAAACTTTTCGCTTTTCCGTACAAGCTTGATGGTGGATTGCACAGATTGACGTGATCATCATTAGTCATTAGAAATCCGAGAATCACTGACAATAACCCATAGAGAGCAGACGGAATTGAAATAAGAGATACATAAATATTGTTCCTGGTCACACGATGCCTGAAAGTTCCTAAAGATATATTAACATCACTGCTTACCAGCTGTGGGAGGAATGCCAGAAGACTGGTCCAACTCAAGCAATTCAGAAGTCTTGAAAAACTTCTCAGTTCATACTATTCCTAATAGAATCATCTAGATCCGGAAGATAGATTCTGTAGTTCCGACCTCGAGTTTCAGAATCACCTATTCCGGCTTTCAAGAAACTTCATTAGTCCAGATAACAGCAACATGGATTTCTTGCAAGTACCTTGCTTGCATAGAAGTTCTGTGGTATCTGGAGGTGACAAAATCGGAGCTTGCAGCTGTAAACATGTTGGCTTTTGCATTACTGCATGAGTAAGTAAGTTTGACATGTCCTAACTCTTCGGGGTAGGTTATGCGACATGGGGCCGAGCGGTGCAATGAGGTTGAGCCGGTTCACTCTTGATGCCAATTCAGAGCTCATTTGCTTATGTTTGTGATTGTGATGCAGTTTGTTAATTTCTTGACAGAACTCCATAGCTGTAATAGCTCCGCACGTCCACGAAGCTGAGCAGGACCAGGCCAGCTGCAGACCACTGGAGCACCACGCAGGTTTAAATCCTTTTTTCAGGTTTTGGTGCGCTGTTCAGCCACTCCTCCAAAATCGTTGCCGTATATAATCCACATCTTGTTTTGATGCGGTTGCCCTACGCTCGTTATGTAAAAGCAGAGCGGAGGAGTGAATGTGGAGTTCACATTGACTATGGGAAGGACCCGTGGGCGGGAACAGCCATCGATTGTTACTTCCTCCATCCTCTTTGCAACATCAAAACTGGAGGCTTATCAATATAAGCACGATGCTTAATTGTCTCCACCTGTGTCTCTGTCGATACAACGATTGTGGGCTTCAGTTCAACTTCTTCCGCGCCTCATTCTTTTTTTCATACTTTTGAGATAGAACCTTGAGTCTCCGTCAGGTTCTATCACCAAATCACATCTTGATTTTATTTTGAATCGGAATAAGACTGCCAACTCACCATAGAGGGAATGTGATTGAAATGAGTAAGTCGACTGCTATCGTAGCCATCAGGCCGGTTTGCATACAGTGAAGGAAGACGTAGCCAAAAATGAGCTTGATACATGTAGAGCGTACAACCTAAGTAAAAAGGTGATTAACGTGGCGACTGCATACGATTTCTCCGTGGACTTACACTATACATGAATCCTGCTCAGACACCACTAGTATGCCTAAAACTCTCTGAGAAAAGCTATTGCCGTTGATAGGCCTTTCTTAGGATGCGACACACATTCTTCATACATCCACTCAAAAACGCATTGGCATTTTGACTGCGATATACCTATACAATGAGTTGCAGGGCAAGCTAATGTATGCGTCAATTTTTCAATCTCCCAGAGAAGACTGATGCCAAACAACCGAGCACCTCCTAGCTCTAGGGTGCAACTTGCCATCGTACCAGTTTCAAAAATAACCCGGACTACCTGTCATTTCCCCTGGCTCCCCTCCATATCCCTGAAAAGGCTGTCTTAGAGTCATGCAAATCGTAATCATAACAAAGGAGAGGCCGTTTGGCTTTGGGGGGGGGGGTGGGAGATTCGCACTTTCACTAGTGGACTCTGCTCTCGGTGCTCCTACCGAGCCGAACTTCGTCCAGGATGACCGACCTATCAAGGAGCACTGGAGAAAAAACATTAGTCTCCTCTTTATCAATTGGTTGAATGCAGAGTACTACACTGCCACTAAACCACCCACTAGGGGAGCTGCGCTTGGTCACTGCGGGGAAAAGTGTATTATGCGACCTCGGGAGCATTTTTGCCCACTGTTACCTTTTCTCTTTTCACGCGCGGTACCTGTATCTCCTCATCGATGGCAGGGTAAGGGCACTCCGCAAAATCTACTGTATGGATACTTCTGTTCGCTGAAAGCGCGAGGCATT